TACATAATCACAATCATCTCACAAAATGTCAAAATCCTACATCTTTTCGGCCTCCATGAATGATCCCATCTCAACAATCACTTCACATTCACCATGGTTGCTGGGTTCCCAACTATCTGCCAGAAGAAAAGAAAAAAAAAATCTGTCTATCCTAAACTCTCCATTTCTGTTTCCCTTTGTAATTCTCTTCTTTTCTACTGCCCATTAATTTTTCTGAATCGCTAAATGTCGCCCTAAGAATTACTAAATGTCGCCCTAACTTACAATTCAATTTACCTATATACCCTTAATGAAAATTCAAAAAATAGGCCAACCAAACAGCCCTTCCACCTTCTCCCTCTGCAAAATCATCCCGCCGCCGGAGACCCCTTCATCCCGCCGCCGGACACCCTCTGCATCCCGCCGCCGGAGACCCTCTGCATCACTCCGCCGGCCCGCCAAGTTGCCGCCGCCGCCAGTCGCCGCTCGTCCCGCCGCCGCCCGCCAACACCGCTGGTCCCGCCGCCCGCCTCGTCCCGCCGCCGCCCATCTCGCGCTCCACAGTCGCGCCGGAGAAGAAGAAGGTAAAAAAAAAAAAAAAAATTCAACCGCAGTCAAACCGCGGTTAGTCCGACGGTCAACCGCGGTCAACGCGCGGTTGAACCGACGGCTGACCGCGGTCAAAGGGCGATTGACCAATGGTCAAACCGCGCTTTGACCGCGGTCAGCCGTCGGTTCAACCGCGCGTTGACCGCGGTTGACCGTCGGTCTAACCGCGGTTTGACCGCGGTCGAATTTTTTTTTTTTTTAAATTCTGTTTTTTAATATTCCGTGTTTAAATAAATGTTATTAATAATAAAAAAATTAGTTATATGATATAAAAATTTAAAAAACGTTTTTGATAAATGTTTTTTTAGTCCAAGTGGTGTTTGTTTGATAAAGGGAAGGTAAAGAAGCTAAGGGGGTAAAAGTGTAACTTTGATTCTTTTTAGGGCGACCTTTAGCAATTTTAAGGGCGACCTTTAGCAACTCCCTTTTTCTGTACACATATTTTTTGTATCGTTGCAATAATGCACACCATGACAGGTTCTGAATTCTGATTGATTCTAGAAACGCAAATTTCCACCATCTTCCGCCATATTGTTGTCAATAAATGACTTTGGTTTCGGTGCTTTAAAATATGTGGGCGAGGAAGGGAGGGAGGCGGAATGGATTCGATATATTAAACATTATCATATCTGATTGAGAGAGCAATATTCTTTTAAGACACTACACTGAATTGTATTTGTATGGGCGTTTCTAATTTGAGGAAATCAAACTAACACATACGGCAGCAGAGTGGGCAGTTGTTGGTTGTGCTGAGCATTTGACGAACAATAGTGTCTCACATGTCTGTCGCTTTCGAATGCCACAATTTATTTTCCTGAATTATAGACACACATATATATATATATATATATATATGGTGAGTTCTACGGTACCCAGGGTGAAATCCTGGGTACCGCATACCTTGAGTATGAAAATGCTATCTAAACCTTGAATTGATTGATCTTTTGGACATGATGTCATACTCTAACTCTTAAAGATCAAAATCTAGGTCTTAGTTCTCTAAATCTTATACCCCAAGATCAATTTAATTAGAAACAAGAATCGATGGCTATTATTCGTCCAAATATAGGCAAAAAGATGAATGCTTCATCTTAGGGTTTATAGTTTATGATTTAGATAATTAGGACCTAGGGTTCACTCATTAAGGGTTAGGGTATAGTATCAAGCCCAAAAATTCTGCTAATTCGAGGTCTAGATAGTGTTTTCATACTCAAGGTATACGGTACCCTGGATTTCACCCGGGGTACCATAGAAGCCACCATATATATATATATATATATATATATATATATATATATATATATATATATATTGTATTAAAAACAAGTTATATAATATTGTAAAAAAGAATGTCGATATTTAATTATTTTAAAAAAACATATAAAGAAAATACTTTAAAATGAATGAAAAATATACCAGAAAAAATAATTGAGTCTAAATATTTAGTTTAAAGTCAGAGTCTCAAAATTAAAAAATGTGTGAGGTAAATGTTGATATTAATTATAGAATTCATAATAAAATGGACCCAAAACAAGTCTGAGTAACAACCGCCCAAACAAATTGAAACACCGGCGGCATATATAAAATCAGTTTAGAATTGGCGAATATATATTTCTAGTAACAACAACAACAATCAGTTACCAGCCGCGGAAAGGATAAAATATACAACAAACGGCGGAAACTTCTTTTTATAACAAAAAAATGTTTGTAATATTTATATCAACTAATTCTTTTGATTAGGGCTATAATAGAGTCGAGTTGAGTTTGACCTAATTGAGACTCAACATGTTAAGTTCGAACTCATTTATTGAAACTCTAATTCATGTGATTCGAGCACTACACTATTAATGAGCTCACGAACTTTACTTAAATTCGCCTCATCAATAGCTTACAAGTTCAACTCAACCTCAACACATTAGCATTCTAAATCGTCAAACCTGTAAACTAAATTTTAAATATTCTAATATTTATATGACTTATTTAATTTATGTGATACATTTTATGATATTTTTCATTATTAACTAATCTTGTATTTATATAATTTATCGGTATCATATTATTTCATTCTGGTGAAACTAGGAATGAAATCTTAATGGAATCTGCTTCCTAGGGGTCGTTTGGAGAATATGAGTTTAAATCTACCGATTGTTAACAATCTAAAGATTCTAACTCTTCGGATTGTTGAAAACAGATTTTAAAATGTTTATTGTTTGGTAACTGTGATTGTTAACATTCAATAAAAATAAAAATTTACTATTATATTAAATAACATGTTTATCCTTAATAAAAAAAATTAGAGTGGTTCAAGAAATATTAAAAAATTTGTTGATAAATATATTTCATATGATAAATAAATAAAAAGAAGAGAAAAACTAGGAGAAAAAAAATCTCACGAATCAAGATATAGAATCTCTCTAATTATGAGAGATTTGATATCTGCAGATTTTAGAGATTTGAAATCTCTAAAGCTAGAATCCACGATACAAAAAGCAACAAAAAACATAACATTCTATAAAATCTACGGATTCAGTAAATCCACGTCCTGAATTAGGAGTCATGTTAGCAGGAAATTTTATCAGAAAAGTTGTAAAATTAATTTATTTTAATATTGCTAAGTAAATTATGTATTCTGTTAATATTTGATGGTGTTAGTTAAAAGTAGATACTATATGAAAATAATTGATAATAATGAGAAAATGAATGTTCAACAGTTTATTTTATATTTGTACTTTGTTTAATATTTTATATTTATCATTATTTTGTTCAGCCTTTTTATTTTTTAGAGTTTGCAACTATTGTGCTCGAGTTACCTACTAGGACTTTATTAAAATTGGATTAGTTTAGCTTTGTTGTAACTGTTGTAGCTTCTAACAATTAATTTTTTGTTGATAAACTATTAAGCTTGTTTTAATCTCAGAGATAACGTAAAATGACTAAAAATAATTTATAATATAATATAAAATCAAATACATTTATTATTTTTATTTAATTTAATTTACTTAAAATCTTTAGTTTATTTCAATTTTGAAATAATTCAAATAAAAGAAAGGGATGTTCTTTAGATAAATAATTCAAAATTGTAAAAATGATTTTTTTTATTTCAAAATAGGTTTTTTTTGGTGGCCTAGAACACCCTCTCCGGTCACCACTTGAGTGATGCCGGAGTTGAGCCAAACCACGGGGTTGCCTACCTATTTACACGACCGAAGCCGGGGCACTTTACCAACGGGAGTGGCATAACCAAAATTTCATTTAAGGGGTGCATTAAAAAGATAACATAAAATAATTTTTGAACAATAACCCATTATGAAGTTTCATGTTTCATATTATCAAAATATTTTAAATCTACATAATTCATAAATTATTAATATTATCTCATCATATAATCATTCACAATTTCCTTTCACTCTATAGACTGGTCAACTATTCCATTGCAGAACATATTCTACTAACATGTATATTGACAACAAGTAGTAGGAAACTAAACTTAACTTCAGAAGGACAAAATGTTCTATTACATAATTTTCTCTTCCGACTATCGTTATCAGAGAAAGTTATTGATTTTCTCTAATAATCCGCAAGTCATACACATCTTGATAAACTGTATTATTGTAGGTATTAGTAGGTTAAATTAAATTATATAATTGATCATGGTTGGATACTAAAAATTTACCAAGAGATTTGGGATTCTTTGTTAATTATTGATATATTAATACTACTAATTTTTGATAGTTTCTCCAAATTAAAAAGATGCCATGGAACCCCCTTGTTGAGGGATAGCTAGCTTTGCCATTGCCTCCGAGAACACCCAGAAGACGAAACAATAGCTCGAACTCGTGATTCCGTCATCACAAGCAGAACCCCGCTCCTACCAAAATAGGTTTTCGCAAATCACTATCTCGCGCGCACCCAAAAAAGCATAGATTCTCCCTCATCAATTACTATACACCGGCCAGGCAACATTTTTTCATCTTCTACAGCTCAAATGAAATCCTCGTTTCCTTTCCATTACGTACTTCTCAATACCGCAAATTCATTTCTGTTGGAGTGTTTGTTTGGAACTCCCACAATACAACGTGTTATATGCAGCTCGAGAAAAGACCTGTCTATCATGGGTGGATCAGCACTCTCAATAAATGAGTAACAAACAGACCATTTCTCGTCCAAATCCCCTTTCTATCCCGTCACCAAACCGTCCCAGAAATAAAAAGGAAAAAAAAAGGCCGCCAGTAATTCGCCCCACAATTTTTGCCGCCATTCAATCTCTACACAAAGCCCGGCCCGCACGTTCCGGGCCCACAACCGTCACCGCAAACATCCAAACCGGAAGCAACAGCATCAGGCAAATTGACTGAAATGACCGTCTCACCCCCCACCTTGACCCCTTCATTTCCCCCTCCTTATAAACGAAGCTTCGCTTTCATTTCCCGTCCACAGCCCACTCAACCCATTCGTCCGAAAACTTAAGCTACAAGTTCTCCCAAAATTCTCTCAAAATGGCCAGAAGCGGCAGCAGCAGCAAGCTCACCAAACTCAAGTCGGTCCTCAAGAAGCTCAACTCCTTCAACGCCAAGCTCAGCCGAGGCGGGAGCTCGATCGCCGCCGCTTCCACCGCCGACGACTCCAACTCCAACTCCACCTCCTCCTCCTACTCCGTCGGCGGCGCCGGGGACCTGCGGCCAGTCTACGTCGGGAAATCGCGGAGGCGGTACCTCCTGAGCCCCGACATTGTGGACCACCCGCTGTTCCGGGAGCTGGCGGAGCGCTCCGACTGCGGCGGCGGCGACAACATAAGCGTGGGGTGCGAGGTCGTCTTGTTCGAGCACTTGCTCTGGATGCTCGAGAACGCCGATCCCCTGCCGGAATCGGTCGACGAGCTCGCCGATTTCTACGCCTGCTGATTTATACACATCCGATCCCGCTATTTTCGGTTTCATTAATTCGTTTTAGGAGAAAAGTGGAATTAATAAAAAACCATGATGCCGGCGTGCGCGGGAAACAGAAGGTGATCGAGGAGAGCGTGATCCGGTGCGGTCATCTCTATTTATGTACAGACGTGGCGGGGAAGAGCGGTAAATCGACGGTAATAAGTTGCGGTGGGGATTTGATCAGCTGGCCATCTAGAGAGAGAGAGATTGAAAAAAAAGAAAAGGGAAAATAAAACCAACATTGAGGAAAGTAGATTAGAGAGAGAAGTTAGGGAGAGAGGGGAGGGATTGGTGTCGAACCGTGCGGATATTGCGGGTTAGAGCAGATCAATTACCAGCTAATCACTCTCTTTCCAGGTCAGGTCGGGTTGGGTCGGGTCTAAATTTCCAGTCCGGCCCGATCGGATGGAATTTGAGAACACACTTTGTAATGTATATTTGCAGTCTTAATTAATCAAAGAAATCCAATATTACCTTTCGTGGTTTTAATGGGTCGTTTATTTGGTGATAAAAACATGCTATAGTTCTTCTATTTTTCAGTCGTGACTATTGTTCTTGATTGATTAGCACCTTATAATGGATAACTCTCATGGTATATTTTATCCTTCTTAAAATGCCTATGACAGACAGAAGTGCATCCAACATTAATGTTTATTTTATTTAACTTTTATGTTAATTATACTCAGTAAATCAATCATATCCTCTTCTAAGATCATGCATTCTTCATACATTCCGCACAAGTCAACAACTCATTTTGTAGTTTGTTGACTTATAGTTCACTTCATTTGATGTTTCTTCTTTGACGAAAGTGAGAAAACGAGCATATGAGAAATGTAGTTAACGAGAGCAAAACCTAAAAAAAAAAAATAGATACGTAATCAAATAATGAATTAACAATTTTTTATGCGAAATTCGGACCTGACAGACATCAATTGTAGCATAATATTTCATCCCCAGTTTCTCATTGAGACCAACACAGAAATGGGAACACTTGTAAATTGGGTCATTCAAATTTCACTGTTAGTTACAAATAGTAACAGATAACACTGAACAAATGATACCGTTTAAAATGTGTTGTACATACATCATTATATCGATAACCCCAAATTTCATGCTTACTCATCTGTAGATTGGAAAAGTATTCACAAGTATATTGTTAATTTATAAGATCATGCAGTATTCTTTTAGGTAGTCAATCAAGTGAGTAACTTTCCATGAACCCTTAATTATCAGGATGAGAGGGACGTCAGCAAACTAACCACTCCCTCCATATAGTGCTGTCCAATCTACCAAGAGCACAAAGACTATATCCATTGAATAGGGTAATTGAAGCTTAAATAAAGACACTTATCTGTATCGTTTTGTAATGACACTTATTTATTTATATTATTAAGACTTAAGAGCACCAGATAACAACAATCATGTTCATAATTAGATTTATATTATGCTAGCTGGGTCAACAAAAGAAAAATCTTCCGAGACAGAATTTTTAGGGTGGAATCGCAAATCTATTATTATTTAATTAAATTATTATAGGCAGAAAGCACGGATTTCATTTTGGCAGCAAATATTCCTTTCATTAATATATTATTTTTGTTTCGGCCCGGTCCATTTCTTCTTTAATTTCATTTAAGATTGGGGGGAGATTATTATTATTATTAACATATAGATGTGGCTCGTCGATTTCTAATCATTAAGTTGTTAGGGATTCTGCTCTTCTTAATTCTGGAGAGAGGGCTCCTCTTAATTCTTCGGGTCACTTTAGCATATTATAAACACAGACACTTAAGACTCAAAGCCTTTCTCAGTAGGTTATAGACAACCCAAAAGAGAGACTTTTTGTATGAACAGTTTGATGAGTGGCAAACACGAAACTCATCTAATGATCATTTTTCTATTTCCTACCAACACCCTAACGCGGTTCCAAGCTGCCATTTGATTTGCCTTTAATTTGTCACCCCAAATTTGCTACTTCCAAATTGAAATACTTGTTTTTAATTCGGTGATGAATTCTATCATCTCGTACTAAACACGTATAAGTTCCAAAACAATTACTATTTAAAGCATAGATGTATAAAAAAAACAAAAGCGTATAAATTTGTATTTAAAAAACTCAGAATATCTTTGCTCCTCTTTGATACTTCCCCGCGCTTGAAGCAGTAGGAGAGGGAGCTTCAACACTAGTATTGCCTCATGCAATTCATTTCGTAAGTGGGTGGCCGATTCATAACATATTAATTTGACTGTTTGTTTTATGGGCTATCTACAGACTACAAGTGGTCAATTTATAATGCCAATGATTACTCAAACCCAATGTGGATCTAGTGAATGAAAACCATATACATGTCCACTTAGGATTTTATTAAATCTCTCGGTGAAATTTGTAAGATAGTTGAGGTTGTGGTCCAAATTCCAAAATACCAAGACCAAAACACACATATTCTTCCCATCAAGAATACCAGGAGATTGCCATAGTGAAATTGAGAGGACTTGGTTGAGGAAGCTGCAAAACCTCTCAGATCGTGTACTGAAAGACATTGTTCGGTTATTGATCATCCAATAATTTGTGCATAAATTTTAGATGGTCAAGTATTTTCAATCTACCTTCCATAATTTAACAATATGTTAATTCGACGAATTGCTTGTGCAAATTGTGTTTCAGCTAAACAAGTGGTATTAGAGGTTAATTTTGATTCGGAGTACTTTAAGTCATTTTAGTGAGATGCACTCATTCGACGACCTTTTCATATAAGATCTGCATGTGTCTTGAGGATCAAGTGGAGATCTGCATATGGTAAATCATTGTGTTGAAAGCCTGTGTATACAAGGTGTCTGACAGATGTAGACAATCGTTGAGAGGAAGACACGAAGTTCATGGTCCTTGTCGCGAGGGGAGGATTTACAAGGTACAATTCAAGTACTATATAAAAAATACAAGGGAGATCACTAGCGGTTTGACCCACGTAGGACAATATAATACTAATAGAGCATCAAGTCTCAACAAAGATGAGACATGTTGCGGCCTTAACAACATTATTCGAATACCCTAAATTGGTAGAAGTGGACGGTAGCACCAGTACCGTAAGAAACAGTTAGCACATCTCCCCCATTTGGAAGCATAGACTGAAGGCCAAATGAATTGAAAAGCATAAACGCATAGACGATGGAAACACTACCATATTGGTTGATAAAGGCAGAAATGTTAATGTTGAGTTTGAGAATAACCTAGGTGATGATCCCAAAGGGAAAAAACCAGGATTTGCAACATAAGCAACCATAATACTCCCGGATAAAACATGTGTGTAGTCAATCTTGCAATGACTGATAAGATTAGACATCCATGCATGATCCATAATGGCCAAGTATAAATACTGTAAGGGACAACAATCTACAACAAAATGGGTTCAGATTAATTTATCAACCCGAGTCGTAGATGTACTATTTACTCAGCAAATTCTATATTATCTAGCGGTCAAGTTGTAGGTAAGTTGTTCGCAAAAAGAGCAGAAAAATAAGCGAGTAAATTGTTCTGGTTTTCTAAAGCAAGAGAGATCACTCAAGTATGCATCCCCCTAACTCCTCAATTAGGTCCAAGTTGTAATTCCCTTTTGTTGCTTTATTGATGATTAAACTGCGGAAGATCCAAAAATAGTTTGGAATCTCTTAAGCAGGCCAAGCCCTCTTAGACAAGGTACCCGACGAGCGACTAACCTCCACCAGAATATAATGCTCATACCATAGACAAAAATCTCCACTACTGGAGTGAATTCCCAGTACATAGCAGTGAATCGATTGACTCTCGCACAATTGATGAGCTCTCTTAACCCAATAAGATTCTATCTTTCCTAGGTTAAAGCATAAATCAAGAGAATGTGATCAAAATCCAACTGACTCAAACAAAGATGCCATGGTCATCGCTAGAGGTGGCAATTGGATCGGATTCATGGATTCGTGGATTGGATTGGTGGATCCATGGATCAAATGGATTGGATCCAATGGATTGGTGGATTCATGGATTAAATCAAATGGATTGGTGGATTGATCTATGAATCCAAATGACATCCAAGGCTTGGACCAAAATGTAAATTTTGAAAAGTTTAGGTACTAACATGTCATAATGAAAAATTTTAGGCACCAAAATATAATTTTCCAATGATTTTTTTCGTATAAAAATATAAATTTTAGGTACCAAAATGTAAAATATAAAAAATATAGGTACCAAATCATAATTTTCCATTTGGATCAAATGGATTGGATTTAAATGGATTGGATTAATTGGATAATTTGGTGGATGGATTGAATTGGATTCATGGATTTGAATTCTAATTGCCACCTCTAGTCATCGCCTTCCCTATCGATGCTGTCACCGACAGGGAGGCCACCATGATGGCGAATAAATCCCTAACCAGAAGCTCTTTCGCGAGGAGAAAGAAGAGAGAGAAGAGAGTTTTTTCTATTTCGGATGTTGTTGTGGCAATAGAAGTTGACATATGAAAAAAAAAAACTAGTTGAAATAAGTGAAATCGCTTTAAGTAGCTCCCTTGTTATTTCATGTGAGGTCCTATCCATTGTTGGAATAATGTCATTCAAGGGACTATATGACCAAATCTCATTAGACACATTTTCTACATATTTTTATCCTCTTCATTTTTACATCTCATATCCAAAACCTTTTTGCTATTTGCAAATATTATTTTCAAATCCTTGCTTCTTCAATTTTCACATAACTACTCATGTCACACTACTTCTCCCATTATTTTTTTATTTTTGTCTTAGTCTCAAAACTGATACTAAACGAAGTCTAAATACTTACTAAATACGTTTTCTGTTTTTTATATTCAACTTTCATGATTTTCAATATTACCATCGAAACAAATTTATGTTTTTATTTTATTTTTATATTGTTGTTTTACTTAGTGGCAGTCTGGCAGACCCATGACTTTCATATAGGTTGTCCTCTTTAAAAAAAATCTTAAATAAGAAAATATCTTACTAGTACAAGTTACAATACAGTCCACGATATGTTTTCTCATAATGATTTTTTTTGTGAAATATACTAACAATGTACCGTACTAAACAAATCTCTTTCAATATATCATACTACACAATCATTCATAAAGTGCTCGCCTATTCGATTCACACTTCTCATTTGTCGAGGTCAGCGTCATCGAATTCTCAGAGGAGTAATGAGACTAGATGAATGGATTCTGAGAGGAAGGAGGTCCAAGACTCAAAGCTCTTCGTTTGTATGTTAGTATACGGTGGGATAAGAGGTGGTCGTAGGTGGATTGAGTTTTTTTTAGGTTTGAAAAGTTGGGAATAATGGGTAGTCGTTTATAATTATATTTCTTATAAAAATTACAACAACAAATGAATTGTAGTACAATATAAAAAGTATTAACTGTAAAACACGATGATTGCGGAAACGAAAGAACACGAGGATTTACGTGGTTTCCCCGTTTATAACCGAACGGGACTAGTCCACGGAGAGCTCTACGCTCTCGGAG